GGGGGGGGGGGACCAAGTCTTCACCGAGGCTCTCACAGGGACACTAGAGAGGGAGAGAGAGCCGGTGCTGCACAGAGAAGGACACAGTATCAGTGAGAACGAATTCACAGGCCCTACCTGAGAAGCAACGGCTCCACTACTCTCCTCTGAAAGATTACAAACCGGAAGCCGCCAAGCAAGTCGCTTACTACCGTGTCTAAACTGGCATCGTCACCCAGACCGTCTTACGACATTCTCTCTTGGGCTTCAAAGGGCCAGACCCAGTAGAAGGATGAAATGCATCACGTGAAGCATTTTCACCCTGGTTTTCCACGCGAACGGCTCTTCCACACGACACTTCCTTAACTGCCCCCGCGAGCGTGCAGACTAAACGGTAAAGCTGAACAAAGACGTCATCAACACCCTAGAAGGGGTGATGCTGAAACAACCTGATGCTTCCATAAGGAATAAGGGGTGAAAGAGGACAAATTAATTCTTCCCCAACAGGTGCAACGAAATTTCCAGGTGACCTCTTCTGAGGGCAGTGTTGGAAACAAGACTGTGTGGGAATCGATGAAAAACCTGTCCCAAATGAAATGCTCAACTCCGGGGTTAGAGAAGGCTTAGAACCAACAGTGACTACCCCAAAAACACTCCTCTGGCCTTGAACTAAGTGAGCACTATTTTATGGCAACTGGCCTAAAAATCTGGAAGACAGTGGCTAAGCTGGTGGAAAAAGGAATGTTAAATGACAAAGGTAGTATTTAGAAATGCTTAAAGGATCAGTTTATTTAACTATTTCTGGTTAACTGTCTTGCATAGGATCCTAATGTTGGATTATTGGGCCAATCCTTAAATGTTATAAAAGCGCTGTAGGCCATCATTCCTCCAAAACACTAATTGGAACCATAAAAGCAAACAGACACACCCAATCAGTTAATCTGTCTGGCTTAATTAGAGATCGGTAGAATACTCCAGCTTTTCATAGCTGCCTTTTTCTTGTGGTACAGGAAGGAATGTCTTCATGCCTAGCACTTCAAACAACTCATCCTGTATCAGAAAATCATTTAAAAACTATAAATAAACAAAACATAAAGTAAAATAAAAAATAAAACGTTTCAAGCAAAAAAAGGAAAGGGTGAGGGGCACCGCGTGGCTCAGTTAAGTGCCCCGCTCTTGATTTCGGCTCAGGTCATGATCTCATGGCTTGTGCGTATGAGCCCCGCATTGGGCGCTGCACTGACAGTGGGGAACCTGCTTGGGATTCTCTGTCTCCTTCCCTCTTTGCCCCTCCCCACTCATGTTCTCGCTCTCTCTCTCAAAAAGAAACATTTAAAAAAAAAAGGGAAAGAAGTAAAAAGGACTAAAGGATTAATCCAGGGGCACCTGGGTGGCTCAGTCAGTTAGGCATCCAACTTCAGCTCAGGTCATGATCTCACGGCTCGTGAGTTCAAGCCCACGTCGGGCTCTGTGCTGACAGCTTGGAGCTTGGAACCCGCTTCAGATTCTGTGTCTCCCTCTCTCTCTGCCCCTCCCCTGCTCATGCTCTGTCTCTCTCTTTCTCTCTCAAAAACAAATAAAAATTTTTTTAAAATTTTAATAAAGGATTAACCCAATATTACAGGTTTCATATGTGGACCTCATTGCACTTATTTTTTGGTTCAACAAGAAACCCACATATTTCGTTCACTTATTCAAACAGAAGCCAGGGTGCCATGCTGATGATGTGCTCAGTACAGACGTGTTTGAACACTTCTGTTTCTGGCCATAGCAGAGTACCTGGTAGTAAGACCAGCCCACCCACTGTCAACAACTACAGAACTACAGAAAATGTTTAGGGCAATTGTTTTCCTGCACTAGACAACTGGCAGACAAGAATGAGGTCCCCGAGAGAAGAAAACCTCATGGGGAAGAGGCCCATGATCATCCTGGCTGACCGCATGGCGACAATTTCCCAACAATGGTGCAGGAAGCTGGAGCTCAAGCGGAGTTCGGTGGTCTCAACAAACTGAGGAGGGAGAGATCAGAACTTGGAGCCGCTTTAGTGTCTGGAATCTGAACAACAGATCAGTGGAAAGAATGGAGCTATGGCAGGGAGAGGGGTGGTCATGAAGAAGTCTGTGTGGGGTTTTCCTGTGAGCCCTTGGCCAAGGGTTGGACTGCACAGGGGCAGGGTGAAGTTATGCAAAGTTTAACAGACAGCAGATGCTACAGGGTTAAGAGCAAAAGAGATACAAAATAAATGCCAATCAGGAATGAGAGATATTTGAGTTTGTGGCCATTAAGAATGGAGAGACCTCGTTAATACCCAAAGCATCCTGAGATACCAGAAAGGCCGCGTGTTAGGATTGTTAGGAGTAAATACAATGCCCTAGAGTAAGATCTACTCTAAACTGGCCCTAAAAGAGCCTAAAGCCAAGCATCAACAAGATCCACAGAGGAAATGCAGCCTCCTGGTCTGGCCTAATCAAGTTAGAACGCCTCAGGATACACTCTGGCCTTTCCAGAGAGATCTGTCCTAACAAGGCATAAAACCAAGCTAACTCAAGTCAAAGGTGATCAATGAGTAACTCAACTGCCTGCCAGACCAAAACTCAATACTCCTCAGAGGAAGATCACAGAATCCTACAATGTGCCACCCGCAATATTCGAGATGTAACCCCAAATTATTAGACATTTAAAAACATGATAATGTGACTCAAAGTCATGGAAAAAAAAACAGGAGAAACCAACCCAAAGATGGCCCAAGGACTGCAAGAAAAATATAGCCATAATGAAAGAAGACATAGGGACATTCCACAGAGAAATTGAAATTATAACAAAGAACCAAATCCAAATTCTAGGAAAAGAATTATCAACCCAGATTTCCACTCCAGTAAAAACATCTTTCAAAAATAAGAATAGAAAGATATCTGCTTTTGGAATGTGTTCAAATTCAAGCAACCATCAACTAAACAGAGACTGTTATAAATGTGATATACAAGCCCAACAGTTAACACAAATCAAAAACCTATAATAGGTACACAAAAAATAAAGAGAAAGGAATCCAAACATAACACTAAAGAAACCCATCAAACCACAAGTGAAGAGAGCAAGAGAAGACAGCAACAGAGAACTACAAAAATAACAAGAAAACAGTTAAAACAGCGATAAATATGTAATTATAACAATTACTTTAAATGGTCTAAGTGCTCCAAATCAAGATACAGAGTAACTGAATGAATAAAAAAAAACAACAACAAAAAAAAAACCAACACTCATCTATCTGCTGCCTGTAATAGACTCACTTCAGACCTAAAGACTCGTACAGATTGAAAGTGAAGGGATGGAAAAACATATACCATGCAAATAGAAGTGGAAGGGGATAAAAAAGCCAGAGTAGCAATACTATATCAGACAAAACAGACTTTAAAACAAAGACTATAAACAAGAGACAAAGAAGGACACCATATAATACGGGGATCAATCTAACAAGAAGATATAACAATTGCAAATATTTATGCGACCAACATAAAAGCACCTAAATACATAAAGCAAATATTAAAAGAAACAAAGGAAGAAACTGGTGGTCATACCATAATAATAGGGGAACTTAACACCCTACTTACATCAACGGATAGATCATCCAGACATAAAATCAACAAAGAAACTGGCTTTAAACCACACAGTAGGCCAGATGGAACTAAGAGATATATACAGAACATTCCATTCAAAAACAGCAGGATACATTATTTCCAAGTGCACTTGGAACATTCTCCAAGGCA